ATTGGCCTATATTCTCTGGCCACGGGAAGGTGAAATAAAAAAATAAAAATAAATACTTATACATGTAATTGTTTCTGTCCTTGGCCTGCTAAAAATACAATACTTATACAGTATTGTATTTTATTAAGCGAATGGCAGTTAGCAAAATGACGAAGACGTCGAAGGACAGTTAGCAAAATGACGAAGACGTCGAAGGGCAGTTAGCAAAATGACGAAGCCGTCTAAGGACAGTTAGCAAAGTGACGAAGACGTCGAAGGGCAGTTAGCAAATTGACGAAGAAGTCGAAGGTCAGTTAGGAAAATGCCGAAGACGTCGAAGGGCAGTTAGCAAAATGCCGAAGATGTCGAAGGGCAGTTAGTAGGGTCCAGCGGATAATGCTTCAGAAAGGGATATAATGCTCTTGGTTTGGGACAAAAATGGAAGAAAGTCTGCACATTGTCAAACTTCCAGGAAATTATGCATATCGTCGATCTGCATCTGAAGCTGCCACCTTATCTCTCACGAGCTCCACTACTTCTTAGCACTATAAGACATGATCGCTTCTCCATTGATTGCTCTCCATTCCAACTTTGATGCAGGGTTGTGGCAGAATAGTGATGTAACAAATCTTTCCCCTAATTATCCATGTAGTGCGAGATGAAACCATTATTGCAGGTAGTCGATCATTGTTGGGATGAAGTTAATCTTGGCAAATAGTATTCCTGCCTGCAGACAAGCTTTCACTGCGTCCACTCTGTGAATAATGTCTTCATCTGAAACACCAGACTTGAGGCCAGCTCCTGAGATCCGATCTCAGATGGAGAGCCCTCCCATTTGCGGAAATCCTGAAAACACGTGGTCAGAAGTTATTTTGCCACTCTACATCCTTTGCTTGTGCTCTCATCTTCTCCTTGAGATGGTGTGTAGACGTATGGCTTGCCACAATACTCTTCCTTTCTGATAGCATTTCACTGTAGGCCTGGCATTACAACCGTCCACAACTACATGTAACTGTACGTGCTTCATCAGGAAAGTAGGACCGGCGCTGCTGAGCAATCGACTTGGTACTGACACCATGAGAAATTCTTTCTAGTTCTTTTCGAGCCTCCTGAGCTGGACTCGGCAAAGGCAGTTCTTTTGGAACGAGCTATTTCTGTTCATACTCGCTCCTTCATCCTGGTCCAAATTTAGCAATGCATCAGTGTCGCTAGAGATGCTATCGCCAGAGCCTCTGGCACAACTAGAAAACTCTTCTTCGTCTGTTTGATATTCACTCCGCAAATGTCTCCTCCATAGCTCTCCATTATTCTAAAAGTAAAGAAACCTCGTAAATAATTTCTCCAGATTTGTGTCACTTGAACTGCCTCGGCCTCGGTTGGGCATGCTTCACAAATGGCTTGTCATTTACCTGACCACATCGCTACAATCATAACGTTTTTATGTAGCAATAGTTATGTAGCGTTAGTGCTAAAGGTGTTGCGTGTCTACACAATCACAAAGTCAAGCGCCGGTACCACGCATAGTGCTCAAATGCCCGGAATGGGCAGAGCGTAGTACACAAGAGGTACACAAAGGGAGTAAAATAGGGCTATTTCGTTGTTACTCAGAGTTTCACGGCAAAAACCAATCATCAGACATCTCATGATCATGATTGTCGCCGATTGTTGCCAAAAACCTGGGATCTCCCGATATTATCCAATATGAAACTCGTTATGCTGCTCAAACCTCACATAATGCTCGTTTTGTTCCTTTTTAATGCTCCATAATGCTCTGATGCTCGGAAAGTCGTATAATGCCGAATATAATACTGGCATTATCCACTGGACCCTAGCAGATAGCGAAATGACGAAGACGTCGAAGGACAGTTAGCAAAATGCCGAAGACGTCGAAGGGCAGTCAGGCCGCGGTCACACATGGACTTTTTTGGCGGTTCCGCCAAAGCGTAACTTACGCTTTGGCGGCAAGTTTGGATTTCGCTGCGCCAAAAATGCGAACGGAACCTCCGCTTTGGCGGAACCTGTATGGTGATTGCTTTGGAGTTTGGTGTGCTTCTTCTGCACTGAGTTCTGGGCCCTCAGCATTATCTTTATGAGCAGCGATAGTGAGGATGATGTCACTGATGTCAATGCCTCTTTAGAATCAAACTTTAGGACACTATATCAATTTTTGAAAATCCCAACTTTTGGAGCAAATCGCAACATACACCTACATACACCTATTTTGAATTTACCATTCTGACCTCTATAATGGATATAATTATGCCTACTGACGCCTATGCCTCTTTAGGGGTCGTCCGTAATTATCGAAAAATTAAAAAATCCGTCCTCGTGCCAAATTGTCTCTGACCCACTCACCAACCCCCATTTTTCCCCATTAATTTTTTGATTTTTACCGATGCCCAGCTCGAAAATAAGAACTCCTGACCCCATGTTCACTGATTGCACCTATGTCAAGTACATGTACTAGTAGCTAAGTCAGTGAGTAGTAGGTCTACCGACGTGACGGCCATGCACGTCCTACAACTACATGAAGAGTCATGTATATCATACTGGTGTTTGCGATCCTACTATCTACAGTGCACTATACAGCTGGTCCAACAAGTGTATGAAAGTCACTGAAGTAAAAAAATGGAACAAAAATCAAAAAATTAAATTCTGCCAGCGCTCTTGACTACCGTATTTTTCCGGTTGTAAGTCGACCTTTTACGACTTAAAATAGAAGGAGAAAGGGTGGGGGTCGACTTACAACCGGGATTCGACTTATAACCGGGAACTATCAGTATCTTACAAAAACGACCTGCACTGCATGCACGAGTGCACCGTGTGTGCACCTTTTTGCGAGTTTATTGGCCTTTTTCAAGAATTGGGACATTATACCCTCCAATAAGGAATGTTTACATGATTTGTTGATGTGTTAGTAGAAGGGAGTGGTTAGTAGTGCTTTTCGGGTGAAAACTGTAAAACGCAGAACTGAGACCTCCGGATACGGGGGTCGACCTATAACCGGGGTCGACTTACAACCGGTAAAATACGGTACCCACCCCATTTTTGCCTGAGGACGGATTTTTTAATTTTTCGAAAAAAATTGACGACCCCTTGGAACCAAATTTTATGACACTAGATCAATATTTGAAAATACCGATTTTTGCCTGCAAATGGTAGGAATCCAGGTGGTTTGGGGTAGTCCTCAAAGAGTAAAGTATTGTATTGAGCCGTTGAAACTTCTTGAATTGTATTTGAGCCGCGACACGACAAAAGGTTGCTTATGGCACGCGACATCAAACTGAGAAAAACTCGTTGAAAGTTGAGTATGCAATAATGAGAGTGCACATTTTCTTTTTCAATTCGATTAGTTTTCCTTGCGATTTATCAAGCTTTTTGAATGCGTTTTTTTGCAACAGAAGCAGTGAGAATTCAGTCATTGCGCTGTATCCATAACTCAGTTTGTGAAATTGTTGCCATAAGCACACTTTTGCCATGGTGCAGCTCATTTGTATTTTAATGGATTCTCCACAGGCCTTAGCCTAAATCGAGGGAGTCTCCATCAACAGCTTATGAAGAAGAAGCTGATGAGAAAAAAATATAGATAGGAGATAGAATGATGCGGGGGTGGTAGTAATATAACACAGTGCTCTATGACATCGCTACTCTACGTGGAATGAAACCAGAGGGCTCATAACCAGTGATAGCAAAGTGTGTGCGGACAACAGCGGTAAAACATTTTGGGCTGGATACAGTACGAATGGCAGCCAGAAGGGAGTTCCATGTGGCAGTGGTGACAAAGAGAAAGGTGGCACGGATGTGTGTGCTGGCTCTTGCAGGTGGGAGTAGATGTTGGGGGCGCCTGGCGCTGTTTGACACTGTGTAGCCTAGGTCCTCCAGGGTCGTCATCTGGCTATTGCTAAGGTGGTGGAGCTCAAGAAGGCACTGAATATGTCTTCGCCATGCGAGGCTGGGCCAATGGAGATGCGCGAGAAGTGAGGCTTTCGGCTCCATTTGAGGAGGTTACACGCCATACTGCCGCAGGATCACACGTGCCACTCTTGGTGAGTTAAAATTGCCGGAGGGATGAGGTGCATTCAACCGCAGGTCGAACATATCCAGTGTACAAGTGGCTGGCTACGGCTGAGGTGATACGCTTGGTCATGTGGATCAGCAGGACGTCTCGCTGGCGGAACTTTGTTGTGATGGTGGCGACGTGGCTGGCGAAGTCGAGGTTAGAGTCCAAGATGACTCCAAGATGTCGGTGAGTCGTTACATCAGACACGTCATCTCTCTGCATTCTCAGGTGCGGAGTCGAGTGAGTAGGGTGGGCACGTTCTGAACGACTCCTAGGAGAGAACTGCATGGTGCAAGACTTCGAAGGGTTGAAGCACCCTCCGACTGAATCAGCCCACTGCAGAATGCCATCAGAGGCTGCCTGGAGGCGGTGAACCATTAATTTTGTTGTTGGTTAGGTCCTCCGGCTGCTCTCCCTAGAGTAGTGTCATTGGCAAATAAGAGCACATCAGTAATGACATCAGACAATATGGTGCGAGGAAGGGCGATAGTGTAGAGAATGAAAAGAATGGGGCCAAGGTGAGATTCCTGGGGAAAGCCTGCAGAAACTGGGTGGGTCGGCGACTTGGCAGAGAGAACTTTGACACAGAAGGAACGGTCTCTGGGGTAGTTGGTGAACCAAGAAACGGCTTGAGGGGATATGATAGTAGCGAGCTGACGGAGAAGAACAGTGTACGGTACCTTGTCAAACGCTTTCGCGAAATCCAAGAATAGAGCATGGTAGTCAGTGCTTTAGCCACTCTTGAAGACAGGACAATTAGCTGATCGAGTGTCCACTTGTTCTTCTTCTTTCAATGATAGGCTTCTTGTCTCTTAGAAAGTTGTTCAAGTGCTACTAACATTCTAATTCCCCGCTTCTTGTAGCAAGAAAATAACCCGTGCAATAACCCGTAAAGCCATCACACACAAAAAGTACCCATGTAACTTTCCCCCGCAGTTGAAATATTGAAACTCACAAGTACAAACAACAGTATTTCCACGTTTGTTTGGCAAGGTCACAGGCTTTAACCATGACCATTCGTCCATTCCGTAGCCTCTCTCATGATTGTTCACTGCCCACATGTATTGAGAAGAAATTCTCCAACGTAGTTGTAGAAGAAAGTTCTTAAAACACTCGGTGTTTTGAGATATATCGAACATCTTTCCACCTTGATACTCGCATTTGATTTTTGCTGCTTTCCAAGTAAACTCATAGTGAGGAAAAGCAAATACATTGTATTTGGAACCAGTGCCGTCCCAGCATTGCGTGTGCAGCTGAGCTGTACGGCAAAAAGTAAAGCAGAACAATGTACTAGTATCTTCTCAGTACTTGAACCCTTTAGAGTGCTACTGGTCAAATCATGTTACAAAATTTGATATAATGTGACTACTAATTCTTTGATTTTCGATCATAATATCAGTTGTATTTCACCGATATTAATGATCTTGGTCCAAGAGCTTTCCAGCGAGACCGGTGGAGTGAGTGAGGTCACACTCAGCCGTGGCAGGGACAAGGGTAAACCCTTTTCTGCACAAATATCATGAAATCTTTTTCAGCGCAAAAGAGTGAAAAATTGCAAAGGTTCGATCCCACATGGCTCGCTCAAACTTCATCGCAGAGAGCTGGGAGTTTTTTGAACCAACAGCTGACACTCGTCCCTATCTGCTAGGTATTTCGATTTCGAAAATCCGTTGAGAGTTGGATGATTTACGATAAATAGACTACATGCTTGAGTGTGGACCTGTCATCCTTTGATATCGAAGGGAGCACATCAGCACTTGAGCAATAAAAAAACCGCGATTTAGCACTCAAGTCCTGCTTAGAACAGGCCAGGTTAAAAGCCCAATGGTAACGCCAAACAGTACTGTGGATACCACGCTGGAAGTGAGAAATGAGCCCGGATCAGCGAAAACCATCACTTGTGTTTGATATCAAGTTGATCAAAAAGTGACGTTGAAGTCGAGCGAAAGAAAAGTCGCGGACCTAACAACTGCCCACCACCTTTCTGTCTTTCTTGTCACTAGTCTTTCTTTCCGCCTGACAAGCCCGTGTTTGTTTGTTTGTCAGTGACTACCTAGCTAGGCGAGCCCCAGCTCCAGGCAAGTGAGGAGACACGGCTGGGAAACCCCACGTACCTGAGCTTGGCTGGCGAATAGGTACGATCGTGGGGTGCGAGCATCGCACGCGCATCGATCGTCGTTGACGCCAATCACGACACGACATTTTTTGGTGATGACTGGGATGGCGATTGCTCATCAAGGGAGTCAGGTGAAAGCCGCGGAGCTCCAGAGGACGACTCTCTCCTGCCGCAAAGCGACTCGGCTAGGCTGCAGACTTCGTGTAGAAGAAAGCAGCACTGATGAGAATGACGACGACTAGAGTGGATATTGTTGAGCGATGAACGACTCCTTCACTAGTAAGTTTGTCGGATATCGACAGTGACGATGCAGAGCAAAGGCGTCTCGATTCACGACTGGAAGAGCAACGAGAGCTAGCGCCAGACAAGATTTGCTTCGTTGGCTTGGACACTGAGCAACTTGAAACATTTCTTTGGTCCATGCAGCAGCTCCCAAAATACTTCAAAGAAGTAATTCAAAAAAATATGTTCCTGTAGGGTCAGGTAAACGTTGAATGTATCTGCACCTAGTAGATCTACGTACCTCATGCTCATGAGCCTGTGTGCTAAGTAGTCACAGCTACTGTGATTGCACTCCGTGTGTGCAGATATGTTTTCATGGAAGTGAAGGGCTTGGAGAGCATCAGTACAGAGCCTGGTGTGGATGCAATATCAGCCCCTGGAACTTGGCCATATGCCGTTAGCTACGCGATAGTCAGTGAAGCCAATGATTTACTTGGACAAGCCAGTGTCTGAGTACACCCCCAAGGACTATAAATTTCCTCCTTGTTAGCCAGCTGAGTGATGGCAATGCCTAACAGGATCAGACACATACCAACGCTCATACTTGCATCCTACACAGAAATGCCACTTCCAACATTTGTACAGAGATGTGGTGTACCGCATTTTTTGGTCACTTACGGTGCTGTGATTGATCTAAAATTTCTTGAGACTGGTTATCAGTGGTTGTGGATCAATTTGGAGCTCAAAATATTTTTCAAAAATTTTGCACATGTGATGGTTTTTGCTGAACCAGGCTCAAATGTTAAAAAATCGGCCCGAAATGTTCTTCATCCAAAGATGTCAGTGTTGTACATGTGCCTGCAAGTGTTATCTCTTCGTCGTACCTGCTGCTGTATTTGTGTCTCTGATGTGTGGCGTGGCAAGGGTAACGTAGAAGAGTCAGCTCGTTCTCCAACCGAGACGACATCAGTGTAGTCTGAAGGGTATGTGTCGATGAACTACCCAAAAATTGGCAATTTACTGTTCATTTTAGGGAATTATGGGACATCCAAATATTCCATTTTTACTAATTTTACACAATTGGATAGTAATAGGGGATTCACACTCACGGGGAAACCTGAGGTCACGGGACAAGGTAAAAGTTCAGACCTTCAGTCAACGGAGTGGGTCCGTTCACACCCGTGGTCAGTTTTCCCTTGGCCTCATGTTTGGCTATGAATTTGTGGCAGGGCAATTCAAAAATAATCTGTACTGCATTTTTGTAGTACATTTCTGTACTATATTTTGCATTCGCCATGCATGATTTTTCGATGGGCACTGTCTGGCAAATGCAGGGTGCGATGCACCGATACAACTACGGGTTCAGAGTTCTCGCCAAAGACAAGCAAGGAATTTTCTAGAACCGCCCCAACCGGTTTTCGACCGGTTGAAATTGTTGGCGACCGGTTGAAAAGTTACAAATCAGTTCCAACCGCCCGAACTTTTCTGTTGGTGAATGGAGCTGTGAATGGTCAAACGCCAAGAAATCTGTTAAATTGCTGTCGAGTGCCATATTTGGGTTGTATTTGGAAAAAAATTCCGGGGGGACCCCCCACTCTTCATTGGACCGTAACCGGTTGGAAATTCGTCCTAGAATAGACCATCGGTCACAAGATCTGCACACAAGTGTCGTATAGCCATGGGATTTTTCCCATGACAACTGCCCTGAGGCCCACGCCATGGCTTTGCCAATTTTTTCCCGAGAGGTTCCTCCTTTCCCCCAGTACCATAGTTTCCATAATAACTTTCCCATAACCGTGATTTTACCCGTGTGTGTGATTCCCCTATAACATGGGAAATTGTGGGCACAAGTTCTGCGATCGAGTCCACCAACTAACTAAGGTACCAATAAATACTTGTTTGAATACGGTTGCATGTTTCTGAGCTCCGATAGAATTCAGCGGTAACCAGTGTCTAATACCAAATATGGCTTCAAGAATTCCAGTATCAATGCAGGGCAGGCCTACTAGTCAACCCGTTACCCCCGCATGTAGAAGAAGTGCTGCTTCGGAGAGATCTCCACCGGACAACATTCGCACTGGAGGGTTATCGACCCAGAAGCGCCCTGGTCAAGCTACATGCTGCTCGGCCCAGCTGCATCCCATCGAAGCATCCGCAGTGATTGAAGTGGATGATCCGTCCATAGACTTGGCGGCTGAGGTGATCAACACCACCGGTGTTGTTGACATAGATGTTTTAATTTCTTAGTTCAAATCTGCAATGGCCGAAATCCTCGAGGAGAAAGATGACGAGAGAAATGAGATCAGTGAGACAGGAGGTGCAAGAAATGCACAGTGCATACACGGATTTGAAGCACCGTATGAACGGCCTTGAAGATAAATTTGAAGAGCTACGCACGATGAACTCGAGCAACCGTACATCGCTGTCTGCCCGCCTGGCGGACAATGTCAAGCGGGTTGTCAAACTGACCGAGCTGCAGGAAGAGAGCAAGTCGTACCTCTCGACTGTGCAGACTGATGTGTACAACCACAAGCAGCGCCTGGACGCCTTGGAAACCCGCGCACTCTGTAGTATGCATGCAGCAAGCGATACCGTAGCAGACAGACCAACCCACAGGCGATTCCTGAGCCGATGGCTCACTACCGAGGCAGAACCCATGCTGATTCAAGACCAGCAGCTGCAAGATGAGATCAGCAACAACGTCATCATCTCCGGAATGGCTGAGCTACCTGATGAGAATATTGCCAAGACATTGCAGTCCCTTGTGCCAGGAGCTGCTGCAGCGGACATGCAGGCACAGAGACTGGGTCAACCAGTAACAGGAGGCAAGTTATGGCTTATTAGAGTGCGTACAACAGCTCCTACAAAGACCATGATAATGAAACAAAGGTGTAGCCTAAAAATTGGCGATGCTAACGTCTATGTAAACCACGATCTCACTGCCAAGCAGTGCGCAGCACGAAGAGCAGTACTACCGTTGTACAAAGACCTGAGAAAGATGGGCATTGCATGTAGTCTTCCAAGAGATACCATCATGAAGGACTGGAAGCCCGTTTCTGAGGCTGAAGCGAAGAGGATGCTGGCCAGGGACGCCACTCCCCAGCAAGAGCAAGCAAAAAGCAAGGCATAGGAATTCTCGGGTCTCCGTGTTGGCCAGTTCAACTGCCAAAGTGCGGTAAGCAAACTGCCGGTGATTGAACAGCTGCTATATAATTCTAATCTAGATGTCATTTTTCTCTCTGAAACATGATTTCATCAGTCCCTCCTGGACACTGTGCTCAGACTAAATGGTTACAATCTGTATAGGCGCGATAGGAATAATTCAATACTTTCGTCTACTGGTGGTGGGGTAGCCATCTACGTTCGTTCTACTCTAATACCGTATTTCTCATGGTGCCCTCACCTTGAATCCTCCTCCCTAAAGGACATCTGTTTAATTTACCACAAACGGGACAACTCTAAGTACCCTATATGTGTTTTCCATGCATTCTATAGACCCCCACATAGCAACGTTGCGGTACGAGATACATTCTTTACTGTCTTTCACGCCACTGTTACTCACCACCTAGACCATTCACATGTCCCACTCCTCTTGTTTGGTGACTTCAATTGTACTTGGTTCGCGTCAGCAATATTGTCGCTTATCTTTCGACAATTTGAACTGAGACTTTGGACATCAACACGTGCACTTGAGACGATAAAACTTGGTACGATGGAAGGTAAGGCACAGAATGACAACTGGCCATGAGGAATAATTATATTGTCCAAGAAAGGGTTCATACTATTTGGACCTCTTCATCGCTGCTCTCAGCGCTGGTGACACATATCTTTGCTCGGGATTGACACTCTCGCTTTCGCAAGCTCATCTCTCTTCCTCTCCACTGCCTGGCTATTTTCTAAAGGAAAGTCGACCGTGACCATCACCTCTATAGGACTTCGCGTGGGCAGCATGACTGCCTGTTTGGTTCAAATCAGTCGCCGTTCTATTGCAAGATTTATTTTGAACGATGACGACGGCTACAGTACTTGCAAATCTCCACGATGCGCAGGATACTCCGAGCGTTGAGCTGGAGGTAAGGGAGTTGCGATCTCAGCTTGGCGAGCGATCCCTGAGGTGAGCGATCTCGGCCGTTTTGCAAAATGGAACTGATTCCGAGTAGCCGGTTACTTTCTTGTGCTTCGCGCTGCTCTTGCCTGCGCAGTGTGACAAGATAATCTATTTTGGTGCGGTGCTGTATCCATCAGAATCACCCACCCCTTCGCTCTCAAAATTCACTCGTAATCTAGCTAGACCTTTCAGGTACTAGTAAACTAACTTACTAACCAAAATTGGAATGAAATGGCTGCCAACGATAAGCGACGATATTGCTGATGCGGACCAAGTAAATTATCTAGTTGGCTCCTATCAGATCCAGATTCCACGGAAGGTCGGCAGCTTTCGACCATTCTAGATGACCTGGGAGTTCTCCAAATTGTAAGTGGCACGCCGACATGCTACTTACCAACAGGCCGGTTCTCCGCGTCCCTTCTCGATCTCATCATCACAAACACTCCCCATCTTGTCACTAAGCCTGCAGTTCTCCCACCACTATCTGACCATTGCCCAGTCATCTGCAATGTCAAACTCCTCCAACCTCGAGAGCAGCACCAGATAGACATATCTATTCCGGATTATGCAAGTGCAAACTTCGAAGCTATGCGCGCTGACCTTTGGACACAGCCCCTGTATGAATGTTCAGAAGGAGCTACCTCAATCGAGAGCGCTTGGTTTTAATGGCAGAGTTACGCTCACGAGAGCATCCACCTTTACTTGGCTACACGTTTGCTCAGACCACAAAGAAAGCAGCCTGCAAAGCCCTGGTTCACGGCAAGCCACAAGCGACTGCACAAACAGCAAAACAGGAGGCTTTCCCTAGCCAAGCGCAACCAACACCGTGCAGGATTGGGTTGTGTACAAGGTGGTTCGCAGCCTCAAGCACAGCAAAGCGGATTACTTCAACCAGTTGTGCTCGCACATCGGCAAAGAGAAAAACTTGACAGTGATCCTCATCTGGGATGGTCTGCGGGAGAGAGTTGATGTACAGAAGGAACAGGATAGGGTCGAGATGGGATCCTTGTGGTACGCCAGCGGCTATAGGGTGGGTTGTGGATATGGAGGAAGTGACTTTGCCCGTGAATTGCCGGTCACCAAGATGCGTTCTGGGTTGCAAACGGGCCCAGATGGTAGAGGAGGACTGGATGCGGCACTTTGTCGAACGCTTTAGCGAAGTCAAGGAACAGGGTGTGGTAGGTGCTGCGCTTGTCCATCGCCTTGGCTATCTTAGATGTCAGCATCTCGAGCTGATCCAGTGTTGACCTCCGGCGGACGAAACCGTACTGGTGGGCAGAGATTATGTAATGTCTGGATAGGCACGTCGTCAGGTGCTCCGCGACGATCGAATCTAGGAGCTTGGCAATGGCCGGAGGGAGGTATATTGGTCTATAGCTGGTGGGTACTGCCGGTTGCCTATTATTCTTGAATATCGGGATAACAGTGGCGCTTTTCCAGTCTACTGGTATTGTCCGAGACGAAGACTGAGGTTGAGAAGCTGACACAAGGACTGCGTGATCACGGGCACAGTTTCTTTCAGGATTCTATTTGTTATCAGTCCTCCGGTAGATTTTCTTGCCGGAAGTGTTCGGAGCTTTCGGAAGACTTCTTCTTCAGTTATTCTTGGTAGATCAAACTCATGGTCAGGTGTGGAGAACGAGGGCGTCAGGAGAGCTGCAGCTAGGTCGAAGCTAGGGTTTGGCGAGAATTGTCTTACAAATGCGTCTGCCAGCTTTTCTGCCTTGCTTGCGCCGATGTTTTTTAGTCCGTCACAAGTTCCATTCCACATGTACATACAGGGATGAATTTATTCTCATGTTTTTGCATCGCACTTTCGGCTATACAAAATCACAATTGCGTAGCAGTCTTTGGTTTTGATTAGCGTTTTTCTTTGAAGGCTGGGTGTTTAACGCATTTTCCTTCTTGAGAGTGATGCCTGAACGCCGATCACAAAAAAACCCGACTTAATCATACATGTGCAAGTAGATCGAGAGTGCCCACATCACATACACTGCACTGTATGCATGTTACTTGACAGCCCAGACACAGCGTCATAATGCCTGGATTTTGTTCATTTTTTACACTCTTCGTGGCATTAAAAAAAACTGATGTGCATGCACATTATGTACACAGCAAGGTGCCCACTGGTGCCACCATTGCATTTCGTCATGTCTCAGCGACTTATCAAGTGAAGCTTGCCTTACCTGGATAGTGGGCTCTACATATTCCCTGCTAGACATTGTTATAAAATGGAAAATGTCGATTGGTCAGCCCATTTTATATCGTTATGGGGGTAATATCGTTATAGCAATATTGCTATAGAGGTAAGGCATTGTATACACAAGTCAATGAAGTGATTTGGTTTCACAGAAAATATCATTATAAGGGTGATAATTATCGTTTGAAATCTTTTATTCTCACGATGAACTGTGGCCAATAAGAGAAAAATAACTACAGGCACGGGGATCAGATACAGAGAGATCAAAGTTTAGCTGCTTGCTGAGGCAGTAGCGATGGCAATAGGGAGTTTATCACGTAGGCTGGTTATAGAGGTGATCGTTATAAGGGTAGGCCGACTGTAACATGAGCCTCCCAAGTTGGGTGGTCGTTTCACGTTTTCGAAGTGAGCTGTGGCCGTCCTGTGCCGTGGTCCTTCATCATTCATCACAGCTAACATTCTTAGTTCGCTGTGGTGCTTAGCTTGTTTTCGTCTAGAGTGCGCTCACCTTCCGCTTTCTTACGTTACTTCATAACTTAGAACCTTCCAAGCTGGAAGGCTGCTGGTTTGCGCATTCTAGACGTGATGCAGCTAAGCATCAGGTCTTTGAATGTCAGGATCTCGTCAGTCAGTTTTTGTGCTAATTGTTGCACATTATTGACTCAACAGTATTCTGCTTATAACCGTTAGAGTTGGACAAAACGGATAACTTGTAAACTTATGGTCCTCTTTATAAAATTTAATCATTGGCTCTCCATCCGAGTTTAATCTAATTATAGTTATCACATGGCACGTGATTGTTGCCCGTACTCCAGCGAATCAGCACCTTTCGCGCCGCGGGCAATAATATGCGATATTGCCCACAAAAAAATAGTTCATTTGCCCGCAAAAAAATAGTTTATTTCAGTGATCGCGTGACTACGATCGTACGACGACTCTGTAGACTGTACGACTCTACGACGAGTCGCAGTGTAGCATTGTCATTGAGACGAAGATGGAATTCTTTTTGGAGATGGACATCCCGGCAATGGACATGGCCTCGGACGTCTGCCGTGTGGTGCTTGCAGGGATCATTTGTTCAGTCATGTTGGCAGCCTGACCGTCGGTAAGCTTGTGGATAAGATTCAGTTCTGCTCGAAGTGGTACTGTGATCACAAACAATTATTTGAAATAACACAAATTCAACTCAGCGTCGTGCGTTTTCAAATCCTCGCAAAGTCACTGCCTGTGTGTGGTCTTCATGTGCCACACAAAACTCTTACCAGGCTCATCTCATCTCACCTTTGCTTGAACAACAAACACAACAATTCAGAAATGTTTTGCAATGAAAAATACAGCTATCTGGAGCTGAAAAAAGAAGAAAATTGTCCTCAGAATTACACACCAGGGAGTCGTCAAATACTTGCACTTGTTGCAGTACTGTATTTGACAACTTCCTGATACACATGTAAACATGAAGAAACTCTTTGTGGTAGCACTCTTAATTTTTCAATTGAAATTATGATTCTGCTGTATTTTATTGTCGTTGCCATGTCTATTGCTATGACGATGCGGTGCCGGCACTTTTTTTCTGTCTCCGTCTTTCAGTACTGTATACTCTCTGATGGCCCGTAGAAGACTTTTTGTTAGGGTGTAGGAGAAATATCTTCATTTTCCTGTTTTGATAATGATAGCACATCAATATACATTGTGGTCATAATGTGTTGGCATTTGGGCTATTTCAACAGCAGCCCAATGGTCTGCTCTGTGGGCCATGTGATAAATTTGTTATCGCATGGTTGCTGCGGGCCTTATGGCATATTATTGCCCCTCGAGGTTAGCCCTCGGGCCTACGGCCCTCGGGCTAACCTCTCGGGGCAATAATATGCCATAAGGCCCTTGCAACCATGCGATAACATATACTTATGTGTTTTTCCAAACTTCCAACATTCCCTGTACTATCCCTGTACTATCCTGAAGAGAAGAGAAAGAAAAAGTTAGATAGATGAAAGGAAGTGACTACTTGATTGTGTGGGTTTGCATCTTTGAATGCGGATGTATAGCTAGATTGCAAAACATGTATTACTCAAAATACTTACAACCTGATGATGGCACCCATGTTCAGTGCAGACTTACGGGAATGGGATGCCAGCCCAAACACTTTCTTATAAAAAAATGTAAAAATCCTACTTCTTTGGGCTGTTGCCTTACATCATGAACGCTAACTCAACTTACCCTCACAAACAATGGAAGCAGTTGTTGTTGTATGATACTCTCCATTGGCTTGCACAGCTCTTTCACCTTCTGTCCAGACGTTGGTTTTATTTCGCAATTCCATGAAATCCACCAGACACGGAACACTTCCTGCACTTGGCAATGTGTGTCCAAGGTTTTTTTTGCATTGACCAGCAGTTTCATTGTATGCACTGAGCGTGTCTTTTTGCCACCAGGTTGACTCTATAAAATATGTATTTGGCATACACTTGAGCCTGGAATTGCCCACACCTGACTGGGTGGTGTCCTGTTCCTCGACATTATCCTCATTCCGGTACCACACTGCGAACATAACAGCATACACATACATGTACAGATAATATCATTATGAAACTCGGATGTTGAGCCATAAATAAATGTAGAAGAGAAAAGGACATATGGATACGAGTTAAGAGTAACTCTCCATCACTGTAACATGATACTAGATACAGTCAGAAAGTGCAATAACTAGGCACAACTGACAGAGAACTGAAACATTCGACGTCCTGACACCTAGCTTCAACACATCTCCGTAGCGCTAACCGACAGCCTTCCAACTTGGAAGGTTCAAGGTTATGGAAAGACCAAAGAGGGGACGGCAAGCGCAACGAAAACGAGCAAAAGCTACAGTCCCAACGGAACAAAGAATGTCGATTGTTACTGGACAATCTTGGTCTTTCCATAACCTTGAACCTTCCAAGTTGGAAGGCTGTCGGTTAGCGCTACGGAGATGTGTTGAAGCTAGGTGTCAGGACGTCGAATGTTTCAGTACTCTGTCAGTTGTGCCTAGTTATTGCACTTTCTGACTGTATATAGTATCATGTTACAGTGATGGACAGTTACTCTTATCTCGTATCCATATGTCCTTTTCTCTTCTAGATAATATCATTATATTATATTATCTTTATTCTCACGATGGCCGTAGCCCAAACGAGAGAGACAGTACTATGTGTTATCGTGTCATCAATCAGAGTAAACCGGGAGAAACGGTGGCTAGTGGCAGCCGTAGTTTGGGTGCTTCAGATATATTTAGTGCGAGTCGTGGCTGTGGACACACACACACACACACACACACAAACACACACACACACACACACATATATACACCCTCCCCTCTGATTTTAGTGTGATAGATGTCCCTGGTCCCTTCCGGAAAGCTCTTTCTGCCATTAATATACTTACTTTGTGAATATCCTCGTTAAACTTTTATTGTCTGCCATAAATTCCAACCTTATCATTCATCTATCAATCATTTGCGCATGCATGTCTATAAAATAAACCGCGTGTTCCTGACTCCATGAAATTGTCTTTCTATTCGTTGACGTGAGGTGAACTATCAATAATTAACGTGTATGCACCGGCGAGCTCGCGATGCTTACAGTCGGCGGATGAATTGGATAAATTCTATGACGCACTCTTGCAAGCATATGATACAGTCAAGTCGAGCACTTTGCTGTACATCACGGGTGACTTCAATGCAAAGGCTGGCACCCGTAAAGCAAGGGAAACTACGATCGGCAGTCACGGCAGGGGAAAGCGGAATAAAGCTTTCCAGCTGCTCCTGGATTTGTGTGAATGTAACAACCTATTCTTGGCCAACACATCATTTCAGCATCCAGCACGCCACATTACTATCACACATCACTATATTCACACATTGCAAAGGTGCAAACTTCGCTTTTTGTTCTTGCTGTATTTCTACCTGAAACCATATTAGCTACATGTATATGAATGTGTGTTTAAGTTATTACATTTTTATGTAACGACTACTACTGCTGCTGCTGCTGCTGCTGCTGCTGCTGCTACTACTACTACTACAACTACTACTACTACTACTACTACTACTACTACTACTACTACTACTACTACTACTACTACTACTACTACTGAGAACTTTAACTTTATTTGATAACAAACTGGGTGTCGGAATGAAGAATTCAAAAAGCGGAAGCAAAGAAGGCAATGGTGATAAATCCAATCAAGTATATTGTAGATAGGAAAATCAAATCAAATAAATAGGAAAATCCAATTAGAAAACAAAATAAAAGAATCAAGTCAACTAAAACAAAAACAAAAACAAAGAGTAAACCCGCATCCGCAAACATCATCCAAGCAGCACCGTTTACCCAACTCATCCAACAACCCAGACAAGAGAAAACCAGATAAGGCACACAAAGGAAACGAGTAAGTCAACCATCAACTTATGACCAATATATAATAGCAAAATTGTTACAACAAAAATACAGACAATAATATATATTATCATGAAACAGTTAGGTCAGGCTAAACAGCCAGGTGAGCACGGGCTCTGCACTCCAACACAAAACCGCCATGACCAGCACCCATGAGCCTTCGGCGGTACAAGTGTCGTGACCCCCGCAGGCAAGTAATTTTCCAGCGAATCAGGCACACACTGATTCAGGCACGAAGCTGGCGCATGATCAGTGAGTAGGGAAGATCACGGTTCCTGTCACTGATTTGAGCTGCTAACGACTTCAGGAATATTTTCACACACACACACATACATTGCCAAGTCTATACTTACTAGCAGGCCGACTGCACATTGCCTGTCTTTTTGTTTCACAATTATATTGTTTAGGTGCATCTGTACCATGAATATCGAAGCATTCTTGACCGATACCATTGTACCTAACCCAGTAAGAACTGGAGTCATTAGCAAGGTCAATAGTTTCGTGTAGAGCTTTCAAGGAGGACGTCACCAAATTCCCTATACCATTGTAGAAGTATACTCTTGATCCACCAGAAAGAGTATCGCAGCGGTGAACGGCTTCATTGTAAGTATGAGGCCCGACTGGGACAATGAGATTAACTGGAAAAACCTTCACCGCAATGCCAAAGTCACCTATTGTCGTCCATCCTGCAATGTAGAGAAAACAATGTAGAGAAATGTTACATTTACCGTATTATCTCCATTATAAGTCGAAGTCGAAGAAATAATCCGCACGAAAGCATAAAAAATGACAACGTACTAACGTCGGTGCATGTATGTCTGGTTTACAACAAACGAGTTCTTCCTCGTATCGATATGGAGTCAGAGAGGACATGTCGAAAGTGTGGTAAATATTGGCGCGCGGGATGGATCCCAATTCGTTTCGTGCCCAATTTATTTGAGCTGCGATGCAATTTACTCTCACCACGTGACGAAAACGACATCGACACAGACTCATTCCCAAGGCCATGACTTGGCAAAGCTATCCGTGTGACTTCGACGGCATTTTGAGAAAAGCAGACGCCTGTGAAAGCTGATAGAAGACGGCGTTGACTCCTGCATTCAAATAAATTGGCGATCTTGAATTACTAAAATAATTCTCAAAAAGAAATCGATCGATCGATGGGCCGTTGTATTCAACAACACGTAGCCACAGCGCAATGACTTCCGTGTTCACTCACACCGTTTCAGTGTTGTAGGTGTGTTCACATGGCGTGAACCAGTCAATTGTCAGTAAGTTCGGCAGGAAAAGCGAGCTCCAACAACAAGTCGTTTGGCGCAGCCACTTTCGTTGGTTTGTACTTTTTGTAGATCTACCAGCGTGATCACCAAAACAATGAAAAAAAGTTTGACTTGAAGATAGTTTGGGATTTTTGAACTCACAACTTCATGGTCACCAGACAGCATTCATAACCACAAGGCCAAAAAGGAAAGGAGAAATCGTGGGTTTTGATAACAAATCGATACTGGCTTCCAGGGCAAATTGTAAACCATGGGAAAAGGCTGGAAACCTGGCCGAAATTCTAACTCCAGTTGGTCCAATTGTTCCGAAACCTTCACAGAACAATGTGCCGTGTCCTAACAAGCCAATCTATGTACTTTGTTGTCCAAATTTCCCTTGTCTTCATACATTTTAAGACCAAAACCTGATTGCTAATCTTTTTGAAATGGACTGTGGGCCGCAACGAATAAGCTTTAGGTTTCGGATAACCCGACCGACCGATGTTTTGAGCGCCATCCAGTTTTTGTTTGTTTGTTTGTATGCACTTACGCATATGTGCATCATATGCACGTACATTTACATTCTCGCACTTCGCCTTATGACATGTCCAAGGCCGAGGCTCTTTCTTCCTTCTCCTGGCTCTGGTCGGTTTCGAGTTGACTCGATTGAGTCGGATTCGTTGCAGGGTGGTTCTATTTGCCAAACGTAACATTTTTGACACTGACAAGTTTTAGTTTAGAAACTCTACTGGCAAAACGTTCCGCCACTTGACGGCGGCTGAACCGTCGTCAACATCTGCATTGTTCGAGTCATGTACCCTGAGCAATTTGTTTGAAACTCTTCATCCAGAAGGCGTCACGTCACTCGCTTCAAAGCAGTGTTTGCTTCCGAAATCGGGTCAAGCCACAGCCGTGATGGCAAGAGTGATAATGTTGGACTTCATTTCTAATTCAGACGCCTATTCTTTTTCTTTGCGTTCGACAACAGGCCAAGCTGTAGTTCCTGCCCCGCAACAATCGCTGAACGATGTTTTGATGCACAACGTCTCGGAGCTCTGCTATGCTCGGTGTGTGAGCATGACCAGTTTGACTATTCCTGGCGATCTGATCGAGGTGTTGATTGCTATGTAGTCTACATGTACTTCCTTCGTATACAAAAACTTCGTGACTTTTTTTAAGGCCGCGCACAGCTCTGGAATTGTTCAGCTTGACTTGGAATAACACTAGTGGAATTATCTAACCTATTTATAAGCCATACACAAAGACAAAAAAGCAACTCAGAAGAATGAGATTGAGTTTATTCAGAGTCTTCTTTGCTCGTGTCATTGTCACCTGATGACGCTGACTCTGCATCTGAAAAAGTCGCTGCTTCCGCTCGCATTTAGTTCAGCTTCTTATCAGCTGCAGTGATGATCCGACATGGGACGTTGCCTACCTTCTCTTCGTCTTCAGAGCTGTGTACACCTCGGTGTCCACTATATTCAGTCGTTTCCACCTTTGACCACCACTATGCCGTGAAATGGGTCATACAAGCACATCCGCACGCTTCACATTTTCTCTGCGTGATATTCCTCCCAGCATTCTACAACGGCTTCGAGGAGGCCCCTGCAATTCCCCTTCGCGACAAAGGAGATGTCTGACTGGAGAGAAGCAAAGAATGCCAACTTTCAAGGTCAACATTCCGATCCGCAGCCTGCCTGGTTGCACGGCGACTGAAATGTTTCATCTTGCTGTGTGAGCGCAACAGCTTAATGTTCTCATGCTGCAGAGAGATCAGATATATTCTATGAGGCCGCACGCCGTTGTGCTGTAAGTACAGAGTCTAGCCAGCTTCAGGGCAGCGAGTGCCGCATGAATCCACGTTCCAGCCGCGAGCACCACTGCGTCACTGTGTCAGTTTCGACCGAGAACATTTTTTACTTGACTCGTGAGTTCCTGTTGGCAATGACCTCACACGCATGGCTTCCTTGGAGAATCTGTTCGGGATCAACTAAACTTACCTCGACATGAATGCGGGTTGTCGATGGCAGCCTTCAGCACCGTTCGTTGAGCGGGTTCTTGCTAAAAACACCGTAGAAAAAAGTCACGAAGTTTTTGTATACAGAGGAAGTGTGCCTGATTTATCGACCACCCATTTTCCATCTGGGATGTGTACTGACATGTTCGTACTAGTACCAGTCTGACACGCATAAAAAATATCAGCAATAAAGAAGGGAAGCCCACCGACCCGGCTGTTCATGCGCAGGCACTTATAAATATGGCGTCGTTCAGTGCGATTTATGTAACATTGTGCGAATAGTACAAATACCCAATGAGTTTGCATTTTTGGAAGAAACTCATGTCGATTCTCGCGTGGTTCCACGATTTGGGACGCGAAACCAAGAGAAAAGTTTTGAAAGCGCTCGAGCAAGATACTCGACTTTTCGGCAATTAGAGAGAGAAAGAGGGTGGAAAGGTGTCCTGGCCTGCCCAGTTAGCTGTCTTTCCACTTCAAACTTGCTCGAACTACTCCTGGCAGTCTGGAGATTGATCTCGCCAGCAATTGTCAGCCTCTGCTTGGCGTGCTCGCGTGTACAACATTCAAGCTAGACATTTCGTAATCGTTCAACGCAAAATAGGGTAGATATCACAATTTCAAGCTCACTTGGCCGGCTGTTGTCTTCTTCTACAATATCCCACATGCCGACTTAGCAATTTACAGCAGGAAGCAGCCTTCTAAACTCAATAGCAACTAAAGGGCCACATCATTTGTCTTCCAAATCAAGAGAAAACAGGCTCCTGACTCGTCGCGTGTATTTAGAAGTTCACGCGCGTATTCTAATGACACTTGGGGAATACAACCAGAGGATAGTCCTCTGCTTGGGAAAATATCGATTTTAGCTGGGACAAAATCGGGACGGGCTTCTCGTCAGGCGAAATAGCACATCATAGTACATTTGAGATCAGCGGGAAGACGATGACGACGTCCACTAATTTAGTATCGGTTCACACGAATCTGCTGCGTGTGTGACTCTGTGTGTCAGCTATGGCATCATCCCCTGTGGTTCCATGCCTAGCATGTACGTCTGGACCATCCTGCAAAGTTTGAATGACGTAGGTTGAGCGATCGCTCCGCGAAACATACTTTTTGAAATTGTCCTCATAGTATGGCCCAGCATCTGCGGAAATGGACCTTAGGGTGATTTGTCACAAAATCACTTTTTTCCGCTGTTGTCATTGTGATCACATGGCAAAAGTATTAGACCGAACAAAGCAATATTGATGACCCAGAAGCTTCTCAAACAAGCATAGGTACATATCAGGAAATACGTATATGTTATGGCATGGTTGCAAGGGCCTTATGCCATATTATTGCCCCGAGGGCTAACCTCGAGGGGCAATAATATGCCATAAGGCCCGCAGCAACCATGCGATAACAAATTTATCACATGGCCCACAGAGCAGACCATTGGGCTGCTGTTGAAATTTGCCCAAATGCCAACACATTATGACCACAATGTATATTGATGTGCTATCATTATCAAAACAGGAAAAATGAAGATATTTCTCCTACACCCTAACAAAAAGTCTGCTACAGGCCATCAGAGAGTATACAGTACTGAAAGACGGAGACAGAAAAAAAAGTGCCGGCACCGCATCGTCATAGCAATAGACATGGCAACGACAATAAAATACAGCAGAATCATAATTTCAGTTGAAAAATTAAGAGTGCTACCACAAAGAGTTACTTCATGTTTACATGTGTATCAGGAAGTTGTCAAATACAGTACTGCAACAAGTGCAAGTATTTGACGACTCCCTGGTGTGTAATTCTGAGGACAATTTTTCTTCTTTTTTTCAGCTCCAGATAGCTATATTTTTCATTGCAAAAACATTCTTGAATTGTTGTGTTTGTTGTTCAAGCAAAGGTGAAAGCAGAGGACAGATGAGCCTGGTAAGAGTTTTGCGTGGCACATGAAGACCACACACAGGAAGTGACTTTGCGAGGATTCGAAAACGCACGACGCTGAGATGAATTTGTGTTATTTCAAATAATTGTTTGTGATCACAGTACCACTTCGAGCAGAACTGAATCTTATCCACAAGCTTACCGACGGTCACGCTGCCAACATGACTGAACAGAATTGATCCCTGCAAGCACCACACGGCAGATGTTCGAGGCCATGTCCATTGCCGGGATGTCCGTCTCCAAAAAGAATTCCATCTTCATATCAATGCTGCACTGCGACTCGTCGTAGAGTCGCACAGTCTACAGAGTCGTCGTACTCGTAGTCACGCGATCACTGAAATAAACTATTTTTTTGCGAGCAAATAAACTTTTTTTGCAGGCAATATCGCGTATTATTGCCCGCGGCGCAGAAGGTGCTGATTCGCTGGAGTACGGGCAACAATCACGTTCCATGTGATAAAACAATTTATCACAGTGTTTTCCAAATCAGAATACTATGTGTTACAGTGAAATGGGGGTGAACCAATTATACCGAGTACTCGAGTACTCGCTCGGTTTTTTCAAAAATAATCGTACTCGGAATAAATCAGAGTACTCGTTCATACATGGTACATGCATTTACTACAGAAATCTGCAGTTTCAGGGCAGCAGTCGGCAGATGGTGATGTGCAGGCTGTGTGGTGAACATTTGTTCACGAGTAGAGAGAGCCCAAATGACCCACCAACCAATATACCCGAGAAAAATGACTGCTACTCGGTTCAATCAGGGTTGTATCATGGTGTGCAATTTTTAGGAGATGAAAAATACTCGAATACTCGAATATTCGATCGGAGAAAATCAGAGTACTCGAACTCGGGATCTCAGTGCCAACTTTCACCCCTACAGTGAAATAAATAAAAAATGGACAGTGTAATAAATCATCCATCCAGTTTTTGTTGTAAAACAACTCTTGGGCAACCTCTGGCATAGAGCATGGATGGCCTTAATCCTCATCACTGCATACCAATGAAAACTGTTTGAATGCCATCCCAAGTCTGCTGAAAATCCACAGAAGTGCAGAACAGGAGGGAGGGTGGCTACAACTACACCTGGAGTCCCAGTCTGTGCATCCCACAGGGAATACAACACAGGCACAACATTCTAACACCCCACACTTCATCTCATAGTCATACACGATTTAGAGGAAGTCCATCATTGCAGCACCTCTGTGAAATTTGAGCTCTGTGGGAACTGGCTGCATGCGAGTCAGTGCGCCATGATTCCAGCACTGAGCGCAGAGAGTTCATAGCTCATCAATCAATGTTCAGCTCTTGCCCCGTCCAAGGGGTTTGGTGTTCACCACGGAGTCCAGTGTGGGAGCCTGCGAAAATTCAGACCATGTCACTAGCGGCAGCGCTCTTTCGTCCTGACTCGAGTTGATCCAGGGCGTTTCAGTTCGTCTACCTCTGTTGCCGATTTTCAGGTGTCAGAAAGTACTTTTGCCAGCAGAGAGCTCCTTTGGCGGAGCGCCTATATCAAGTTGAAATTCTCGTCGCTAAATAGGAATTGCGCGTCGACAAAAACATCTTCTGGAAACTGTCGTCGTTCTCTATCAGGCGCGACGATTCCTGCCTAGAAAATCCAATGACTTCTGGCGGAGCCGGACGGTAGCTAGCTGGCCATCGTGAGCGAACTCTCCTGCTACTGGGACGATCAAAAGCATTCATTGTTGCGATGAACTAATTTTTTGTTTGAATGTGCAGAGCGCGAAGCAAGAGTTTTTTGCCGTTGCAGAAAATGACTTATTCTGAAAAAATGATTTTCACCCGAAGGTCGATTCTCGCTGATACTGGGCCGTGTATCTTCCACCATTGAAATTTCGAATTTCTTGCTGAGAGGGGTGGCTTGCAACCTCGATATTGCTTGTTCCAGGCATGCTTTGGAGCCATCCCCTGTTGAAGTAGTGGTGGGGATATGCCCTGCAACTGCTACAACAAAATATTATTCGATCTGAGAAAGGGTGAGACCGCGAATCTCGGTTGAATATTGAATATTTCAAGCCTTTTCACGACGAAGATGGAGTTCTTTTTGGAGATGGACGTCGCGGCAAAGGACATGGTGTCATTTGTCCTGTCAGGTTGGCAGCCTAACCGTCGGTAAGCTTGTGTTTGAATCCCGTTCTGCTCGATGTAGTAGATCACAAACAATTTGATATCGCACAAATTGATCTCAGCATCGGTATTTTATATTCTAAAAATCCCAAAGTGTCTCTGTGTGGCCGTCCTATGCCAGGAGAAACTCCAATCAGGCTCCTATGTCCTCTGCCTTCATGATTGAATGTCCACTTCGTTTGAACAATGAACACAACAATCGAGGACGGCTTTGCAATGAAAAATACAGCTTTACTGGAGCTGAAAAAAACGTGCTCAGGATGATACTCGAGTACATGCATACTCTCCCAGCAGGTGAAGCGCAATTTTTTTGTGAAAAATGCCTGTCGCCGACTGACCAGTAATTTCGCCTGACGCGGAGCCGAGTTTGTCAGCGACGACACAAGGAGTATCCCAGAACGAAGCCAAAGTCGCACAACACAGAACAAATGTTCTGAAGGAAAGGCAGTCATGTGAGGAACGAGCGGAAAGCTTGAAACAAGACGCAGATGATCAGCGTGTTCCCCGGGCTGTCCGGGCTGACTCGTCTCCAGAATCCAGGGGAAACCATGGCCTACTTGTGTTCTGACGATTTGAAAATTCAAATTTTCTTGCCATTGAAGCCCAATCGAGATTTTCGGCGGCCACATTGTTAAGTGGCGTAAAATCGCACAAAAGACAGCCGTGCCGACCTACCGGTATTTTTCTGGCCATGTTACCTGAAACCAAAGACCTATTCGGTGCGGCCCTACATGTAAGTAGAACACAATGACATTGACTCGGGAAGAGAACACACACACACACACTCTCTCTCTCTCCTCTCCCTCTCTCCTCTCTCTCTCTCTCTCTCTCTCTCTCTCTCTCTCTCTCTCTCTCTCCTTCTCTTTCTCTCTCTGCTATTGGCACACCTGGTTGTGATGAAGCCGAGACCCAAGGTCGGCAGAGCATCCCAGACCACGCCACCACTCCCCTTATTCATGGCTCACACATGACGGGTTTACGTGGCTCTAGAAAAAAACCCAAAAAAAACCACATACACAGATATCCACACATATATCCACACACACACACGCACACACACGCACACACACGCACGCACACACACACACACACACACACACACACACACACACACACACACACAGCAAAATACCCACCATCACAGCGAGCACCATGGTATGACTCGTTGTTTGTGTTATCAGTGCAGTCACAGCGGTAAGATCCCTCGGTATTGATGCAAGGGTTTTTTCCACAGTCATGAAAACCATACTCGCATTCATCATACTCCTCTGTAAAAAATATCGGTAACAGCAACAGCCACAGCGACGGCAACAGATATAACAACAGCTTAGACAAGCTGGAAAGAATCCAGCCGATAGCCTCGCTCTCCACCTCCCTCTCTACACCCATTAACTACATAGTGTTTGCTCACTCCATCCACCACAATTACGTCCCGCTTCATATTCTAATGCTTGCAACCGCAAATCGTGTAAATATAGGCCATGGCTTGCTAGTCTGATTCTTTATTCCACTCCGACTGAAAATAAACGAGAGAGCTTGGAAGCTCAGGGCACTACGCTCTGCTTTTTTGCCTTGATGACCTAGGGAAAAAAGCATAGTAAATTTTTTCATTTATCCTTTTTTTCAAGACACAACCTGGGATTCGAACCCGCACAATCGCCCTACATCCCCGGTACACTTTACATACATACTAATTCTTCCAAGTTGCTTTACGTTATGATCTTGCATTTGAAAGCCCTATTTGAATATTGTGGTCAGCTGTTTGTGGCCAGCCGTCTTTGATGGTATGGTACGGTACAGGACAGGTATGGTCAAGGATAATACGACACCGTCTACCACCTTAATGACCTAGGCAAAAAGCATTGGGATGTGATAAATTTTTCAATTCTCCTATTTTTTTTAAGGCATAACCTGGGATTCGAACCCGCACAATCGCCCTACATGCATTACCCGATACACTTCGCATTCATACTCATTCTCCCAAGTTGCTTCACATTATGATCTTGCATTTGAAAGCCCTATTTGAATATTGTCGCCAGCTGTTTGTGGCCAGCTGTCTTTGATGGTACGGTACGCTACAGGACAGATACGGAATAGCGCCAGACGGAGGTCCGGCTGCCATAAACAAACAAATAAATAAAAAGCTGTGTGGACATATGTTCTGGTTTCCTCAGACATGCTCTCTTAAGAGAAACCCAGAACATATGTGCAAGTCGGTCTCTCAGATTTCGCTCAAATTTTGCAGGTAGGTTGGCTTTGGGGTGTACATCGACATTCCAAAGCCCGCGCAAAATCCTTTGAAGGGAACCATGAAATTGGTATACCCCTCAATATTGGCCCAATATTGGCACGATTTATGGGTCTACAAACGAGCCACAGCACAGCCTACAAGAACAAGCTACGAACAAAACTCCATCAAGCCAACATTACCTCATGGTTCCCTTCAAAATATTTTGCGCGGGCTTTGGAATGTCGATCTACACCCCAAAGCAAACCTACCTGCAAAATTTGAGCAAAATCTGAGAGACCGACTTGCACATATGTTCTGGTTTTCTCAGACATGCTCTCTTAACCCTTTACCGGTCTACCATAAGCGAACCGATACTATAGTATCGGTACGTTTGGCCCTCATTTTTTGGGGTCTTGTTGCTAGGAGACAGCTAAAATGGCGCTCTACGCGTAGCTGAGGTCCAAGGCTTGCTGACGATGTACAAAACAACCATGCTTACCATACAAATTTTGCCGAATCGATCGACTGAAGTTTGTTGAAATTGGAAAAGACGACCATCCGCCATGCGTGCATTTCGAGAATGCGAGTGCATCTCTTGGGGCCGTGTTTGACAAGCGTTCTGAGAGCAGTAACACCACCAGTCCCGGCTGGATCTCCCGGGAGGTTTTGCAGTGTAGTGTGTTGAGAAAAAGAGCTCTGTTGAGTCCTGCTAGTTCAAAAATATATCGTCCACGAATGAAGAAACAAAATTCTCCAAACAGAGAGGAAGCCTTCTTGATGCCGACACGGCGACAGCGACTGTCACAAGGACTCGTCAGGTGCGATCAGCTGATTCGCCTGGCCGTGAGAATCACGGCATGCGTAAGCTCGCGCCTGAGTGCTCATCTGAGCGAGAGTGAATGTGACGCGAGCAGCCCTGAGATGAACAAACCGAAGCTGCGATATCGTGGAATGGGAATTGCTGCTGCTGGCGTATCGCCGATGGCGAGGTGTTGGTGTTCAATGCCGGTATTGTAGAGAGCCTACATTTTTTGTAAAGACGTAGCCCTTACCTGATTGTTTATCGTACGACTTCAGCTCCATCACGAACTTGGTATGCCCTTCGTGCTGTGATATTCGTGTATTCCATTCGCAATTGTATTTTCTCTCAACTTGAAAGGCTACCATGGGCCCTATCCTTGCCTAGACCTAGTCATATTTGAATTTTCTGGACGCGTTCAGGCATACAGATTTTGAAAATATATGGTTTACCCATACCTACATCACATGGTTCTTGAGTTATTGCTGGTTGTGTGTACATGTATTTGCGTGACCACCCCTCACATGCATTGAGTTAGACCGGCAAAGGGTTAAACTCTTTAGCGTGAGCGTCGTACTAGAGCATCGTACTAGAGCATCAAACTAGTACGACTCACAGGAGTTGTGTGTCCCATGGCCGTCGTCCTAGTACCATGCTGTGCAGTGAACCTGAATCACATAGTTGCGGTCAGTAACGTGTCCATAGTGGCTCGTTCAAACTATCGTAACTCGGTTCTCGGTGGATTCCCACAATCGAAACATGTTTCTGCAAGAGAAAACTCTCAGCTGGCGATAAAAACAATCGACGAAGCGATACGACTACTGAATTTTGAGATAAGCGACTCAACACGTCTGTTAGGTTTGATAACGAACGATGGTCCGGCGGTCTCCCATGTCGCGCAGTTGTTGTCAAGAGTGGTACCAGATTCATGTGTTGCGCTCCTGTCGATTCTGGTGTTGTATCTGTTCCTGGTTGTGTTGTAATACTGGCAGGTGTAGCAGTAGGCAAGCAGTGTTTTCGTGTCCTCCCACGCTTGGCTTGTTTGCCCTGGCCGCTTGTGACAACAAGGACAATGGGACGTATTGTTTGATACATTCGGACAAGTGTTGAAGCATCCTGCCAACATACCGACTACCGCACTGTCGGCATTCAGAATGGTTAATGAGCTGACTCAAATGATGGGTCGGCAGGACGTCCTTCTACGCCGTGAAAGAACGTATCGTGGTGAAGACAGTTACTACATTCAATGCATAGTACATTCAATGCATAGTATGTTTTGTGGACAATAGACTGGACAATCCGACTGACCCTTGTCGACTCCACGCCCTTTCAAGTCAGGCACAGGAAACTTTCGGTTCTCTGCCAAATCTTGCCCAAATTCAACAATCGAAGGGTCTAGGTGGTAGAGAAAACTCTCAGCTATCGCCTCAAACAGCTTTGAAGTCTCTCCGATGAAGTTCGAGTGAGCGGCGATCGATCGAACATTTTGAATTTTCTGAGCTGCGTGCTGCGAGTCAGTAGTGCGTGAAAAAAGGGATTTTCCCAGCTTCGGGACTGGCGGCACGTGCCAGGACCGGCGCGGCGCGAAATCACGGCAAAGTAAGCTGCTACTCGAAAAAATTTGAACAGTTCCGAGCTAGATTCAGTGAAATGGCTGCAGGAGACTGATTTTGTCTCAGATCTGGAGCTGGATACGCGTTTGGCGGACAATGAGTACAGTCAGACCTCGCTTATCCGGTCCTCGTTTATCCGGATCCCTCGCCATCCGGAAGAAAAAAGTTGGTTACAAATGTACAGCATATGCCATGCTTACATACAGTATGTGTGTTCGATTATCCGGTTCCCTCGCCTATCCGGATATTTTTGTGGAAAACGGATGTGTGCGGTTATGCGAGGTCTGACTGTAGTGCTATTGGCGAGTTTGGGCTCATTGTATTTCGCTCATCAAGAGCTTTCCAACGAGCCCAATATCTTCAAAATCGGTGAAGTAGAACCAAAGTTATGTTGGAAAATGAGTGCGCATTTTCGGGACGGCCACAAATACTGAGGAAGCAAAAAAGTTATGTCCATTGTTAATGCCTCCCTGGGTTAATTCATCACATCAACTTAATTTCCATCTAGCTGTTTCTGGCTAGTATCAGTTTTATCACACTTATCAATCTTCCTTATTGGCATCACGCCATCGTGGAATTAAAATACTAAATAAACAATTGCATATGAAACAAACAGCCACTCTGTGAAAGGAGGGAGAGAAGAAAATAGAAAGGCCGGATAGATGACAACAACAACCCACCGTATGCCGTGTACAGAATGAAACGCAAAGCCAGCGATTCACTCACACAACGCCGCGGATAGCACACTCACACTCACACTGCCATCCTGGAAACAAAATTCACCTCGTGTTGTTTTGCATACCGCCCAATCGTTCAGCGAGGATGTGCATGTGATGGGTCACTAGAGGCCATAATTATTGGTGTTATCATCGCTGTCTCGCCCTGAGGACCCCAGGAAGTGAACCAGAAGAAGGAGCATGGCCTGGGAGAGGGGGGGGGGGGGGGGGGAGGGGGTGTTTACGATTTGCATCACCCCGAAACCAACACACCCAATCTAAATCTTACCATAACAGGCTGTCAAGTAGCGTAAAGTAACATTTCTGTCGATCAAAACGCCGTCGTACCAACTTGAGTTTTGTCGAAAGTGCAAAACCTTGTTGGGATCAGCAGTCCAGTACTGGTAATGTTTGTTGTTATTCATCGTGTTGTATGCCAGGTACTTATAAGCACATGAAGATGAGTGGAACCTATTCTCAGGATTGAATAGTGAACCAGAACTGCACTGTTCTTTGGCAGCTGTGTAGCCCAGCAAATCGCTGTGAACTTCAACTAGAAATCCGTTGCATTCTTCTCCTGCAAACACAACAGGAACAGCAAGCGCGCACAGCGATGTAACACAATAATGTCTTTATGGCTTCCGGCGTACATCACACATCAAAACCTTCAGAGAAAGGGAGGGGGCAAGGGGATTCAAAAATTAATTATAGTATAATGTATTGTACTGTGCGGGCTTAAGAGAAACCCGTCGTTTAATCGATTTTAACCCTTTACCAGCCATACATAATGCGAATGCGTCGAATTCGACGCATTCGTTTTTCACTCTGTAAACCATGTTCTTTTGCCGCATCGCGGTCGGAATAATCGCAAACTACTGCTGAAAACCTACGGTTTGCCGAAATTT